AAAAAAAGCTTTTAAAAGGTTGTCTATTTTCATATTTAAATGTCCATGTTCACTGCTAGGACTGAGTAACATTTTTGCATATGAAATAGATAAATATGTAAAGCAAAAACAAAAACGTAAGCAAAATAAACTCTGGCGACAGCAGTTGCTTTCATCCGACTAGGGCTGCTCCCTAATAGTCTACTGAATGTTAGTCGACGAGAAGAGACTTAGTCGACTAAAATTTGATTAGTCAGTTAGTCACAGAAAAAAATGGTCCATGTCCGTGACGGAGAGATCATTAACAGCTGGTCCTTGAGGTAATTACAGTGTATTAAGCAGGAAATCAAGACAGTCTCCTATCATTCATTAATCTCACGTATGGCTTATCGTTTGGAAGTAAGTAGTGGCAGTTTTACACAGCCACTCTCTCTAACTTTAACCTAGATAATTGTGCGCTATTAGGGTGCATTTCTGGGTGCTTGCGCAGAGTTTGGAAGCTATTGGCATGTTTACTGCATGACATGAAGGTGCCGGAGAGATTATTGGTATTTTTTTATGCCATTTTTGTTCATGCAGATAAGAGGAAAACATAAACAAAAGTAGATTCTTTACAGTTTCGAATTGTGTTCTCACAATATCAACAAAACATTGTACTTTTGTAAAATAAAGAAATCGAGATGAAATGCACATGGAACTTCACGAAATACAACTTAATTATCAGGCCCGTGAAAAGCACACTCAAGATGAAAGTGAGGTAGATATGTGGGGGCGTGTTAGAACGAGCCATTTTAGGTAGGTGTGGCTGACTCTTAACTTTTATAAAGAATATCTCTTTGGATTTGAGACTTTAGTGTTTACAACTTTACAGATCTTCTTTATGCACCAAGAGCTTGTAACACTCCAAAGAGAAAGGAAAACTTGAAATCGCATCATATGACCCCTTTAACAAAGAACACCTGGCGTTAATAAAAAAACACATTTTCCAAGGTTAAAATAGACCAAAACTTCTGGGAAATGCGATCTATTAATATGTCTGTCAACGATATTTTAAAATTTACTTTTAGTAACATTAACTCGGACAAAGTTAAAGAATTAGAGGAAAAAAAGAATTTTGCTATGGTTCAAAAGTTTAAAAGAATAAGAACACCAATGATTACAATAGGTGCCTGCCCTCGGTCCTTGGCCCCTAATTAGATCTCCTGGGTCAAACTGTTATTTTATTTTTTAAATGGAGGGTTTCAATGCAAGCTTGATAAATTTTTGAGACGTCCTAAATAAGTGAAGAGTTAGCAATACTGAGAAAGGTTTCTCAGATTACATGTAACACCTTTTGCAGTTGCTTAGTGGATATAAGATGCAGTTGTATGTTAGGTTTGACACTTTACATATTTGAATGTTTTGATGTCTGTTGTTTTGTGTCATTAAACTGGGGTTAACATTTATTTATTTTATTTTATTTTTTTTTTTACCTTAGACCTGATGGCACTGAAAGAGAAGAGTGAAGTACTGAATGAGATGGAAGAGAAAGATCGTGAATTCATAAATGGAGAAAAATCTTTTTGTTGTTCACAGACTGAAAAGTCTTCCTCAAGAAAAAGGGCTCAAAAGACAGGAGGACGTTATTTCACCTGTCAACAGTATGGAAAGGGTTTCAGTCAAACAGAAAGTATTAAAAGACACATGAGTATTCACACAGGAGAGAAGCTATACGCATGCCAACAGTGTGGAAGGAGTTTTACTCACCCTGGACACCTTGGAGTCCACATGAGAGTTCACACTGGAGAGAAGCCTTATGCCTGCCAACAATGTGGAAAGCATTTCAGTCATAGAGTAAGTCTTAAAAGACACATTAGAATTCACACAGGAGAGAAGCCGTACACATGCCAACAGTGTGGAAGGAGTTTCACTCAACCTGGACACCTTGGAGCCCACATGAGTGTTCACACTGGAGAGAAGCCTTACAAATGCCAACAGTGTGGAAGAAGTTTCAACCGGAAAGGAAATCTAAGTTGCCATATGAGAATTCACTATGGAGAGCACCCTTACAAATATGATCAGTGTGGAGAGAGTTTTGATCAACATGACATCCTTGAAGTCCACATGAGAACTCGTAGAGAGAAACCCTACATATGCCCTGAGTGTGGAAAGTGGTTTAATCATAAAGGACGCTTTGAAGACCACATAAGAATTCACACTGGAGAGAAGCCTTTCACCTGCCAGCAATGTGGAAAATGTTTCCGCCAAAAAGGAAACCTTGACAGGCACATGACCGTTCACACTGGAGAGAAGCCGTTTATATGTGGTCACTGCGGAAAGAGTTACGGATATCGAGCAGGACTTAAGTACCACATGAGGTTTCACATATGAGAGAACTGTATTTCTACGTTATCAGTGTGACATGAGTCATATAATAACACCAGAGAGAAGCCTTTGCTGTGCCATCATCACTGTGGAAAGATTTGCAGAAACGACAATCTTGAGGTTCACAGAAGCATCACTAAGCACGGTTTCCATTACCCTTTAAATTGCGCAAATTGAAATTGCGAATTGAAAATACGCGTCAATTTCGCAAAAATGCCCATATATCGCAAAAAAGTTTTTACGCTCGCATGAGGTGGTTTTTCAGGCAATGCGAAAAAGGAATAATTTGCAAAACTGCAATGGAAATGGCTTTTTCGCATTTACAGGTCACATGGCGTATGTAAAAAGTCATATGATCATTCTTCAATGTACTATAACCTCCAAGAAACACTTCTTACGTGGCCGCTCTCCAGTATAAGGGGCTTTCCCTACCATTAATGCTTAGACGATTTACACTGCACACGTCTGCGGTGCAGAGTGGCTCTGATACGGCTACTGAAGCTGATTGCGGCCACAATGCTTGTTTATTCCAGCCGCGCCACACGTTTCTGAAGCGGCTCTCTGTGCTGCTTCTGTAAAGATACACGCATACGCCTCCTTTGAATAAATATAGGCAAAATCCGTTAAAATCCCACCAAAATCCATTGCCATGACTTATCGCGAGAGGCAAAAGGTTACGTTTTAGTCGCATAACAATACTTTTTTTATCGACATTTATAAAATATCGCCAAAGTTTTGCACAAATCTGTAATGGATACGCACCTACTGATATAGTTCAAAATAGCTGAGCAGTGGATTTGGGCTTGGTTTACACTTGGGTTTAAAATGTTTTGTTTGGTCGGATCACAAATAGACTGTCTCTGTATCACTTCTGTCCCCATTTTTTCAAGAGGAGTTTTTTTTTTTATGTTCTTTTTACTACTTATTTTATTTTATGCTGTAAAGCCCATTGGTCAGCTGCTGCTGTTGTAAATGGTGCTATATAAATAAATTAAACGTGAAACTTGATATTGAAACTTAAATGCATGGGATTTTTCAGATTTTTCATTCAAATAAAATATGTTTGTGCAATATAAATAAATTAAACGTGAAACTTGATCTTGAAACTTAAATGCATGGGATCTTTCAGATTTTTCATTCAAAAAAATAAAATATGTTTGTGCAATTTACATATAAACTTGAGTAAGTCTAGGAGGGGAAAAAAATTAAGAAGACTTAGTAAGCAGTGCTGGTGATAGTAAAAAGGAATCAATAAATTAAGAAGGGGATGAATTAAAAATTATAGTGCGATTTAAAGAGGGGTACGGTGTAAAAAGTGTAATTGCATTAACAAATGAGTTGAAACAAGCAGATGAGATCAAATATGCAAAAGTACTTCAAGATGGAGCATTGATTGTAATATATAATAGTGAAGAGCAGCGGAATAAAGTGATAAAAGAAAAATACTATGTAGGCAATGATTCTAAGTTGCAGTCAAATAGGTAATAAAATATGGGTGTGTGGAGTAATAAGTGGGGTCCCATTAAGTGTGAACATGGGAATATAATGGGAGGAAATGTAATGGAAGCCAAACACTTACAGATAACTAGAGAGTGTTTTGTGTTTTCACCTGAGCTCTTTCTTCCTGTCAGTTTGTCTGTCATGTTTGTCTTTAGCCCAAGCCATGCCATCTCTGTTGCTGTAGGTACGTTTGATTTCATAATGGAATCTTAAATGGTAAGCAACATGGGTAATTTTTCATCAGTAAGATCCAGCAAACTACCACCACACCAGAGCAACTCAGTCTCAGTGTAAGGAGCGTTGTGATGCTGCACCAGAACTAGATGACTGAAGGACTGGATTATCTCTGCTCCTGCAGTTTATATCAGGGCTGCCTTGTTGTATTCATATTTCAAGGACTTTTGTAGCTATATGAAGAAAATAAACTGGTTTTATAAGTGAAGCTGGTAATGCTGTTTTGAATTTGTTTAATCATTACCGGCTGAGATTTTTATAGATTTAATATTCTTTTATTTGCAGTTGATTTAAGTGTTACTTTTAACACTAAGTAATGCTGATTATATAAACCGTAATGTTCATTTTATCAAGCCATTCAAATGGTGGACCACAGTCGGGGTCTGGTCCCCGGCTTGGTTCCAACTGGACCGCGAGACAATGGAGGCACCATTATACCATTTTTTGATAAATTGAGCAGCACGTCAAAACAATGAAGCGGTTTGCACCACAAGCGCTCATGGTCATTAATTGTAATGATCTATCAGTGTTACATCCTCTAGCATTTTTATCAAGAGCCAGACGTGCTTCATGGAAGCCCTTCTCATGTGCGTTACTTCTCCATAAGTCATGTCAAGTCACCTTTATTTATATAGAGCTTTTATCAATACAGATAATGTCAAAGCAGCTTTACAGTATCGTATAAGAAAATAGTGTCAATAATGCTAAAGGACAATAGTAAACACTCAATTTTCAATGAAAGGCAGTGCATCATTGAATTCAGTGATGCTATCGTCCAGCTCAGTTCAGTTTAAATAGTATCTGTGCAATCAAGTCGACAATATCGCTGGAAATTAAGTGTCCCCAACTAAGCAAGCTAGAGATGGCAAGGAACCAAAACTCCATCGGTGACAGAATGGAGAAAAAAACCTTGGGAGAAACCAGGCTCAGTCGGGGGTCAGTTCTCCTCTGGCCAGATGAACCAGCAGGTTGATCCATGCTGCAGCAAAGTCACATTGTGCAGAGGACTCATCTGGTTTCCGTGGTCTTGTCCCGGTGGCCGTCTAGGAGACAAGGTCTGCACTTGTTAAAATTACAAAAACAACTGCACTTGTTAAAATTACAAATTACTTGCTTCTTGCGACACCGGTCTGTTATTGTGGCGACATTTCCACGCACCAAAACGTGACCATGAACGAAACGAACTGTGATTGGTTGTTTGACATGTTGGTCAAACGGCCTCATGGGTGGGCCTTGGCCAATGAAAGCTGCCATGGATTGCAGACCTTCAGCCGTCGGTCTGAAGGTCTGGCTACGCAAGACTAGTTTAGATCCTACCTGTCCGATCGCTACCACTTTGTTTATTTAAAGGGGGAGTCATCTCAATTATCACCAGTAAAGTATGGAGTGCCACAAGGATCTGTCCAAGGTCCTCTGCTATTTTCAATATACATGTTGCCCCTTGGTAATATTATTAGAAAATACGGGATTAGTTTACACTGTTATGCTGATGATACAAGCTACAGGTAGTCCAAAATGCAGCGGCTAGAGTCCTTACCAGGTCAAGAAAATGCGCCTAACCTTTAGTGGGGCCGATAGAGTCAAGGATACCGGTACACGCAGAGTTAAATGAAGAAAGTCACTCTTCAGTACTTAAATGAGAAGGTGAGCATTCATGATTCACATTAAAAAAAGAGCCATTATTGTACAAATTACAAAAATCAAGAACAGTCACAGAATTCACTGTATGGAGCCGGCGTGCAGGTGCACATGGTTTAACAGCAGGTCTTGAAAAGGAAACTCCAAAAACAATAGACTTGTGATCGGAGAAGCCATTATTGATCATTTCAAACTCACATACAGATAAACCATAGGATAGGACAAGATCCAGTGTGTGGCCATGTTCATGTGTTGGACCTGTCACAGACTGAACAAGATTAAATGAGTCAATAAGGTTTAAAAAGTCTTTAGCCAGTGCGTTGGAGGGACAACAAACATGAATATTAAAATCTCCAAGCATGAGGATTCTGTCATAAGTAGTCATAATTCCTCCCAAAAATTCGGTAAACTCAGGAATAAACTCCTTGTTTAATTTGGGTGGTCGGTAAACCAACGCACATAGCACACGGTTTGCTGAGTCAACATGCATCAATTGTAGTTCAAAACTGGAATAGACATCAGGCTGCAAACGCTTGCATCAGTTTAAAAAAAAAAAATTGATGGCCGGTCCACCACCACAACCAGTAGTGCGGGGGGAATTAAAAAAGGTACAATCAGGTGGTACAAGCTCAGTAAAAGAGCTAAGGTCTCCAACATTAAGCCAAGTCTCGGTCACAAATAAAAAATCCAGATCTCGTAAAGGGAAAAAGTCATTATGAAGGTCTTATTAACTAACGATCTTGAATTAACCAGAGCCATTCTGACCAAGATCGAATCATGAGCCGACTGTGATGCACGACACAGCGGGCGAAGGTTCGTTAAATCCACTCCACCTCTGCGGAGACGAGGCAAACATACCTGAGGGAGGGTCGAGTCGAGAACAGGTACGTACAACAGGCCGGATCCAGCGATACAGCGACTCCACACAGCGCCCAGAGCAACCGCGATCCGAAACCAGCCCACATAAGGACACGAATGAGGTACTCCAGAGGATGCCAGGTACAATTTCCATCTGGTGGATACGCTGCCTTGCTTTCCACATCTGCGGCGCCGTTTTCTTCCGGAAAAGACACAGGGCAGCTGGCGCAAACTTTCCGGTATAGAAGACACAACCGGAGGAAGACAAGTGCTTAACTTACTTAGATCCTGCTTAATCAACTCCTCGACAGAATTTCGAATGTCAAAGAGTGTTTGTCTATCGTAGATAAGTGCCGTAGAAGCATGTTGAATAATCATAAATAACAACAGTACAATAACAAACAGCCAGGTAGGTCGCAGACGGCTAGCCACACACACCGGCACCATCTTGCTTTGCAGTTGGCTTCAAAACTTAACTTTGAATCAGTGATTGTTCCTAAATATTTATAAGATTGCACACACTCCACTGTTTGACCCTTAATGGATGTGTCTTCATGCATAGAAACATTCTTTCTAAAGTCTATATCCTTGTATGTGCTCCTATCAGCCAAACATCAGGCCGGCCGATTACGTTTTGAGTTGGTGGGGGTAGGATTTGAGGGTTTTTCGGCCATGGCGGGAGTAGTCCTTCCCCAGGGCTTTACAGAAGGGTGGGTTACTGAGTGAGTTACTGGGTGAGCAGCCCACCCTGGACGGGGCTAAGGTTCCTGGCGATCGAAGGCTCGATGATGGGGGGGATCACCCATGCCGAGCGCTGCCATATCCTTTACCTCGAGGCCCGCAAGACTATGTTTGAAGTTGAGCAAATCGCTCCAGTAAAGTATCATGTGCTTCGGGCACGCTGGGAGGACAGGGAAGAGTTGTTTCCTTGGGCCGGAAGGGTCCCAGCAGCTTCCCATCATAAATATCCCACTCCTAGTCAGTGGTGCTCTGTGGAGCCGGCCTCTCCATGTTGAGGTGAGCGGCCCGCTTGTTCACATACATCCAGGAGGATGGACTGGGGTAAGGCCCCGAGAAGGCCAGCGTCGTCATCGTCACCAGAACTGGGCAGTTCGTTGGCGAATGGGAGGTTCCCTGCCAAGATATCCTCTTCAGGGAACGCCGGATTGGGCTGGTCAGCCCAGTTGAGAGACGTTGTGCCCTGGTAGCGCGTTGTCATCACCGTGTCCCACATCCGATTCAGTAATGGCCAAGCTCAACGCACTGCGTCACGGCCACCGGAGCCTCGTAGGCAACATAAGGCAATGGCTGCAATTCTCCACGTTCTCCAAAGCCTCTTCTGCGTGCTTGAGGCCCAAGCAGATCACGCAGAACAGGTGAGGTTCCTTAGCAGCGATCAACTTGCCACACGCGTCCAGGCAGGCCCGTGATAAGCTATCCCCGGGAGAATCAGCCGATTAAGAGAGCAACATATCAGCGAAAAACTGAGAAAATCCATGACGGGCAGCGGTGGAAAGGGGAACAGGTGAGATAATCATAATAGGCGAGCAGCCTGAAGACAAGAGAGAGTGTAGGCGGCTCGGGATGCGAAAACAAATGACCAAAGGCTGAATAAAAAGACTCCCGTCTGGCAGAGGCTGATCCGGTGTTATGTCCTCCTGAAGACATGCAAGTGAGCAGTTTAACATCCAACCGAGCTGAGAGAGCACAGAGATCACGAGAAGCGAATGTCAACTGAGGAAAAGTACCACGGGCAGGGGTTTTATGTGCTTAGTTAACCCCCTGGGGTCGAAGCCCGCACTGGTGCGGCCTGTCTCGTATTTTCTCGATGACCATGGAAAGAACTAAAAATACTCCGTAATTTTTGATTGTACAGATAAGAATAAGGTATCATTTGAAACTGCAAGGGTCTACTTTTATTTGTGTAGTCATAATAACAACAAAACTATTTGCTTAATATTTTGAATGAACAACGTAGCAGCGCCGCATCCAGTGGGCTCAACTGGATAGGCTTAAAAAATAATTAAAATGCAATGACACCTACATCGTCATTGCATCTTGTGTGCTACCTGACGCACACCTAAAATTCGAATGCAACGTTTTTGCATTCAAATGTGTTTTTATATTTTAAATTCGATGAATATTTGAAATTCAAAGTTTTTTTGACAGCCCCCCTACTCCTGTCTGTCAAGCCAGACTTGGTGCAATTGGATGCTTCTGCAGAAGTCAGGCATGGATGCCCTTCCCACAAGTGGATCTCGAACATGATTTGATGAAAGAGAACTTTGAGTTGAAATGAAATAAGTAATGCATTCAAAAACAAGTGCCATGTGAGGACAAAGACATCTTTGCAAAGAGGTTTCCTACCCTCTCGAGCGCCTCTAATATAACCATGTTTGAGAACTAGATGCAGATGCTGCCAAATTTTTATAATGGGGTTGTTAGCCAGGTTTCTGGAAGTGGTAAACAATCCATGCTCGAATCCTCTTCGGAAGTGAGTTTAGCATAATCATTCACAAAGTAAAAAAATCTGGAAATAAATAAATGTTGACATAATGCATGAATAAATACAAATTAAGTGAATGTATAAATAAACATGGAAATAAATAATTGTGGAAATAAATGTTGTCATAAATACATTAATTAATTAATACATTTTGAAAAATATAATAATAAATAAATAAGAAAATATAATGTGTAAATATTTTTTCTTTATATATTTCAATATGTATTTCACCAAGAATAAAACTCTGAATACCACTGACACATGTTTTCATGTGTTTCCTTTATGTAAATATCTAAGCACTTTCTGGATTGTAGATGCAGCAGCGCGTGAACAGGACTTTTATTTTGATCTGGTGGCATGATGTCATAAGGCTGCGCCGCACTCCTGCATCTGTGTTTCAGCAAAAAAAAAAAGGAAAAAAATCTGTGTTTCAGCTGAAGAAAGGTTTGTGGTCTTCATCATTTAAAGTGTTTGAATTCATACAAACGCGTTCAGTCTATTTGATATGGTTTACAAGCGAGGTAAAGTTGATAATTATTAAATGTAACATTGTAATATTTTACCTAGCCTAATAATGAACGTTATTTTGTGTGAGTAAAGCGCATCCACACAGCATCTGATTTCGCTCCCTATGTAGTCAGATAATCATAAACACGAATTCAGTCATTCATTCTGCCCATTTGTGTTGAGAGAAACGGATCTTTCAAAACTCAGAGTCAGTTGATTCAGTTGCTTCACAAAATGATTCACTGTTTTGAATCACCGCGCGCTGAAGAGACCTGCTGCTCAGAACAGTGTAAATGCAACAAGAACAAACACAAACATGTGTAATGACAACTTTTACAAACAACTGCAAATGTGTTTTTGTTGTAATGACAACCTTAAAATACAATAGCAATTTTTAAGCGTGTAATCGAATAAATGTAATATATTAATCATTAAATACCTATTGTTAATCACAACTAAATAGTAAAAGTTAAAAGTTTTGAATGTTTGTCTAATCAGATCATTTTAGTCCATTAACTATCACTCTGACTCCCTTACCAGTGAACTGACTACTGAACTAGGGAGCTGATGGAGATGCACACAGAGATTAAAGGGGTCATATGATGCTGCTAAAAAGAACATTATTTTGTGTATTTGGTGTAATGAAATGTGTTTATGCGGTTTAAGGTTAAAAAAACACATTATTTTCCACATACTGTACATTATTGTTTCTCCTCTATGCCCCGCCTTTCTGAAACGCGTCGATTTTTACAAAACTAATCGGTCTGAAAAGCGAGGTGTGCTCTGATTGACCAGCTATCCAGTGCGTTGTGATTGGACGAATACCTCAAGCGTG